ATAAAAATAAAAATAAAAATAAAAATATTAAACTGAATCGAGTATTGCTCTAGTTTGATTTCGTTACTGCACACGACCATTACGTCTCTTGTGTATAATTATTATTAATAATTAGTTCTATTCGAATATTCTTCAAATAAAAATTTTATCGAATGGAATCATGTCGACACTCGAAAGCATATAAATATGCAAGGATAGCTCAGCACATACGTATATTGATTCACAATCATACATTCTATGACTTTCTGTTCGTTAATCATAGCCTTGAGGACCATTTAAAGAGAGAACAATTTGGCATGTGATGGTTGACTCTTCATTTTCTTTAATTTGTGAGTCTTCAATTCCCTTTGCTTTCTTTGAGTACTAAAGGGAATTAAGATTTCTAATACCGAGCCACTTCATTAATGAAACCATGATAATATGCATAGAAGGAAAGCAAATATTAGATGTCTATAGCTCTATTTTACGAGTCTCACTTTCCCACTTTTATTTTTTATATACATCATGGCATTTATAAATTTTGCCTGTGTAAGTGAGAGTCAAATGAATTTGTCCATAATATTTCAAGAGAGGGGCGGAGGGAGAGATTGTCCTAGACTTTTGTGTCTAAAGCCCAGAACTGCTTCCCCTCCCTCTGTCCCCGGTAGCATCACTTGTTGGGTGTGGAAGCTCGAATACAACTTGTTGATTCTAACAGATTGTAAAAAATGAGATTTAATGTCGATGTGAAGTAATAAAAATCACAACAAGAAACAAGATTAAAAGTAAAGAAATAAATAAAGAGAATTATTGCAAAGGAACGATGTATTATAAACTGACAATATGGAGAAAAATTACAGACACAACAATAATGCTTAAACAAAACAGATATAGGAGTCTTGCATTTATAGGTCGCGTTTCAAACCCTAAAAGAGTTTTAAAAAGCAAGAAAATATATTACAATTAGGAGACCCAATTTCAACGGGATTTTGTTTCCTTGTTATTGAATGCAGTTAGACTCTTTTCCAATACCAACAACACAATATTGAAGACTCCTATTTGAGTCACAACTCTAACACCGCTGGTGCTACAACCTCAATGTAGATGACACGGAGTATCATTAAATGATAGAATTAGTCAATAAGTCATCTATCTCCTTCATTTAATTTAATATATTCTTTAATGACTCATATAATAATGTGGGAACACTAATGGTCGATATTGCATGCAGAATGGCCAAAGTATACGTCGGCGTTAAANTATATATATATTAATCATTTCTAATACTTTATTCAAATATACTCAAATAATTTTAATAATTATTATCATGTGATTTTAAAATGTTACAAATAACCCAAATAAAAATACAAAAAATTCAAATAAAAGTTATAGCGCCATGACCATTAGCATGTCAATCATGCTATAAATACAAATTTTTTTGACAAAAAACACTTGGCTCGAAACATTAAAAAAAAAAAAAGAAAAAAAGAAAAGAAAAGCCAATCAGGTTTGGCAACGTCAGTGTTGGTATCCATTTGTTAAATTTTTTTTGTACTTAAAGTTTTATTGTAAGCATTTATTTTGAGTAATACTATCTATCATCAATGATGATAATTAATTATTGACTTAAGTGACAATAAATCCCCTAATACGTTAGTTATGACGGTATAATTCATAAATAACATTATTCATTTTTATTTTTTTTGTTCTTAGAGAGAGGGTAAAAATTCTTAGAAAGAGAAAGTCAAAAGCATGCTGACAAGCAGTAAGCGTACAGTAGTTATTCATATCTTAGAAGAGTCCAAGTCAAAATGTCCAAAGATAAGCTATTAAAAAAATATTTCTCTCTCTAGAACACACATATTACACACACAATTTCCTTGGTTTGACTTTCCCATTTGAATCTCTCATTTCCTCATATAAAATCACACCACTTTCCCAACTCTTAACATACAAACCAATCCACAACTCTTCAACAGCTTCAGCATCTTCTTTCCCAAAAACTTCAAAATCTTAATCTTCATAACTAGTTTCAAATGGATCAAGTTGAGGTTCCACCATATTTTCTCTGTCCCATCACTCTAGAGATTATGAAAGATCCGGTGACGATCTCATCAGGCATAACATATGATCGAGAAAGTATTGAGAAATGGATGTTCTCTCGAGACAACAGCACTTGTCCGGTAACAAAACAAGTCATTTCGGATTCAGAATTGACACCAAATATCACTGTTCGACGACTCATTCAATCATGGTGTGTCCTCCATGCGTCCCATGGCGTCGAAAGGTACCCGACACCTAAGGCTCCTGTTAGTAAACCACAGCTCCTGAAGATATTCAAAGATGCCAAATCTCCACAAACGCAAATGAAATGCCTTCAAAGATTGAAATCCATTGCTTTTGAGAACGAAACGAATAAAATATGCATGGAGAAAGCAGGAACGGCAGATTTCTTAGCTTCCTTGATTGTTAAGCAAATCTTGGTAGAATCTTCAATTGAAGAATCAGAAGATTTATCTGAATTGGCAAGAATTAGAGATGAAGCTTTATGCATTCTTGTCCATCTCCAACTATCCGAATCCGGCCTTAAGTCCCTCTTAAGGAACAATGGTGATCAATTCATCGAGTCCTTAATGCATATAATTCAGCGTGGGAGCTATGAATCTCGAGCTTATGCTGTTATGCTACTGAAATCCATGTTTGAAGTAGTTGATGATGTAAGTATTATGCCCTAGGTCCAATCGACTTTGGACATAAATACTTTTATATATAATTAATGCAATTAAATGGCAGATCTATTATTTAATTAATAGACAATTAAATAAATAATAGAGTCCGTAGATTCAAATATTTGTAATTTATTAATCACAAGGAGTTGTGATTGTGAGATACAAATTACATCTGATTGAATCTTAAATCATCCGTGGTCGTAAGTAATAACGAGATACGGATATCGTTATTACGGATAGACCATCACGTGTGGCATTTCTTACTTGTGAAGTAAGTAGCTGATCTCACAAGTTAAAGTGTGGTGACACTTAAATGAACACGTGGATGTTTGTTATAGAACAAAACATTGGAGACCCGTCGAGAGATTCCACATGGATAACTATCTGAGTGTCGGTGGTTAATCTCTAACGTTCGGTA